AAAAAAAAAAAGAAACCATAAAAAGTAAAAAGTGAAAGTGCATTGGTATTAATTGTAGTAGGTAAGATCAATAGTTGAAAGGTATAAAAAATACACCATAGCTAAAATCATAGAGAAATGGAGTTTTTTACACCAACCTTTTTGTTGCGTCTCAAAAGGGATCCTAAGATGGCGCATGAAATTTAGTGTACAATGTCAAAAAGGACACTCAACATTACTGCAACACCAACACATAAACCTCCGTCTCTCTCTCTCTCACGACAAACTTTTCTTCTTAAACGTGCGACCTTTGTGCTCTCTAATGTATTACCAGACAAAATTGCCAAAAAAAAAAAAAATAAAAAAAAAATAATCCCTCTCGATAAAATTCCCCTTCTTCAACCTCTGCAAACACACACACACACGCACACATACATAGTCACATAATCGAGGCATTTCACACGAATTTCAAATTTTCAAGTTCACTCGTTCGTACAGCTTAATTACAGTAATGAAATCCGGCACCTTTTACGGACAGTAATGGTGGTCGGTTGTGACAGGCGAGATATCCTCCGGCGCCAGAATACAGCCTGCGGCGGCGAGGAAGCCGTTTCCGCCAGAAGGCTCGCGGCGTCGCTGTGGCGGTTGTCCGCCACCGCAAACGAAGTCACGAATCGGGCCGGACTTGAGGTAATCGAATTATTTCATCATCTTCATTTTTTTATTCTTTTCATTTTTTTTTTTTTGCACTCGATGTGTGAATGTGATTTGATTTTATTTTGGCTAATTAAATTATGAATAAATTATTTTGGCTCTGTTTTTGTGAATTTGTTATTTAGCTCTGTTGTTCCATGTTCTGATATATTATGTTTATTTGAATTCTGTGAGTGTAATCAAAGTTATGCTCATCATTCCCAATCCCTAATTGTCCAACGGAAGGGGCTACAAAATGGGATTATTGCAACTCAAAAGCCTCGCATAATACCGGCTATTTTTTCGGCAATTTCAAAAGCATGGATCCGTTTAATGCGAAAAAATGCGAACAAAAACACAGCATAAAGAAGGCAAATCGTGAAAAGATGAAAACAGAACGGCGAAGAAGGCGTTTAATGGTCGATGATTTAAAGGATGATCTTAAAATGGAAAGGAACAATGGGAAGAAAGTTAATAGGGAGAATTCGAAGCTGTCGCGTGATGTTGCAGAGGCCAAAATGTCGGCGAGAAAATTCATGCACAATATTGGGAAGGAGAAGAAAGCTAGAAAATTATTGGAGGATATGTGCAATAAGCTAGCTATAGAAATCAAAGACTACAAAGTCGAAATCGGGGCTTTGAGGAGTGAGAGAGAGAAAATCGAAGAAGACGTGGAAAACGAGAGGAAAATGATGCAGTTAGCCGAGGTTTGGAGGGAGGAACATACGCAAAAAAAGCTACAAGACGCAAAGTTGATTTTGGAGAATAAGTTTTGCGAGTTGAATAATTTGATATCCGAGATTAAATCTTTCTTGAGCGAATCAAATTCGAAAAGGCAATCTTATGATGCTGTGAATATCCAATGCATTAGAGATTTTTCCCAGGTCCTCCCGAATTCAAACAAAATCTTCACTAACAAAGGAGAAAATGCATGTAGCGAAAGAAGTGTATGTTCAAATGAATGCCCGTTTCGAATGGAGACCGTGAATAAATCAAGAAAGAGCAATTATAAGTCGAATTCATTTGATCTTGAAAGGGAAAAGATCATGCATCATGGATGTCAAAACTCCGAGTCTAGTGGAATTTCATTGGTCTCATTGAATCGACCAAAGGAGAAAAAAGGTTTATCTTCTCATAAGCTTCGGAGGGAATTGCGGAGAAATAAAGATGCAAGCACGAAAATATCAAGTGATGTGAGCGGAAGAATCTCGAATTGTTCCGTATCTTCGATGTTATCATCCATGGATGAAGGTCAAGTTAAAGTATGGAAAAACCCACATGTCGTTCGGGCTATGAACGGTCATATTGAATGGCCACGGGAGATCAAGAGGCGCGGCTCGTGCGAGGGCAGCCTTCTGGAAGCTAAGTTGAAAAGCCAGAAAACAATATTGCGCGGTGTACTAAAACAGAGGAGTTTAAGTAGTAGTTTTGAATAAATATTGCATTTTTGTATGATCTTTTAGTTCTTAAGAGTAACAAAGCTCAATTCTCTTTGCTCTCCCTGTCATGTTCTGAGAATTCAAACTACATTTTATGCTTTTATTGCTCTCCCTAAGTTCATCTTTTTGTTTGAATCATATATTTGGACAATTTTTTTTTTATTCTTTTTTGAAGTAATAATAAATGAAAAATGCATACCTGAACACTGTCATTGGTTTATGCAATAGCTTACACTGTTTTGACCGGAAAAATGTATTTTTATTTTATTTTTGGGTATTATATTTTGGGAAAATACTAAGGTCCCGTTACGGAACCATTTTGTCAGGGTTTGTAACCGTTAGATCATCGGTGTCAGAGATAGTTGATCTAGCGGTTACAAATTCCGACGGAATCGTACCGTAACATCTTCCTATATTTTGAGGAGCTTATTACATTTTTATCTCACATATGTGTGCTTGTTTGTGGACAAATTGTATGGGCCCCTTTGTCTGGAAAAATCTAACATAGAATGCCGAAGAGTTTGCTTGAAAAGACAAAAGGAAAGACTCTGTAACAAAACTATTGATTGTTGATGGCCATTGATATGTTGTTATCGTTCTTGAAAAACAAGGATCCGATGTTTGATCCACTCATCATCTCACTTTTCTTTTATGTGTGGTGTTCCAGTTTTCTTGATACAACTATCTGAGGCAAATTGTTCATTTTAATTTTGGGTAAATTGCACCAAATCCCTCTGTGTTTAACGAAATGTGCGCGTTTTCCCACTTTCTTTTAGATGCAGTGGCAAGATCATTTCAAGTGAAACTTAATTATGTAAGAGTGTGTTATTCAACTAAAATCTAAAAAAATTTAATAAGCCTTCATAACCCTATCTCACAAAGTCGCTACCAAGCTTTGACTTTCAAACCTCTTAATGAGATGAAGTTTTTGTTCAAACTCGGCACGTACCGACATTTGTCAAAATTCTAGTGGATCCATCGTGTTGCAACCCAGTCGATTATTAGAAGACATCTCGATTATTATTTTACTTATGCAGATAGTTGCGTTTTAAAGATATCTAGCTCGAAACTAATAAAGAAACGAAGGAAACAAAAGCCGAACTAATAAAGTTGGCCCAATTTTTAATCTCAGTTGCTCACGTGGAGTCAATATTAATTGGATTGGCCCATACTTACAAAAGCTGACCCAAATAATCGAAAATTATTGGTCCATGGCGCAGCCCGACTACCGTGTGCCCTGGCACACCTAGCTAGGTGTGCCAGAGCACATTTTGCACGCGCCCCTCACCCCCAAAACTAGAAAATTAAGAGAGTGTAGTGCACATTTCTATTTTTTTTTAATTAAAAAATGAGACATATTACATAAATTAAAATATTATTAATTATTTATATTAAAAAAATAAAATAAAAATACCAAAATTCATAATTTTTCATTATCTATAAATAGAGACCACATTTGATAGGTTTTTTAACACAACTAATTTTTCGTTTTGTCGTAATTATTTTATTATACTGACATATAATGAACATGTTACATAATAAGATAAATATGTTTTCAAATAAGATGAACATGTTACAGATTGCATATTGAAAATAATACATATTCATCTTATTTTATAACATGTTCATCTTATTCTATAACATGTTCATTTTATTATGTAACATGTTCATCTTGTTCTATAACATGTTCATTTTATTATGTATGTAATATGTTCAGCTTATTCTATAACATGTTCATTTTATTATGTGATATGTTCATCTTATTCTATAACATGTTCATTTTATTATGTAACATGTTCAGCTTATTCTATAACGTGTTCATTTTATTATGTAACATGTTCATTTTATTCTATAACATGTTCATTTTATTATGTAACATGTTCATCTTATTTTAGAATATGTTCATCTAAATTTCATCTGTGAAAATGTAACATTTTCATCTTATTCTATGACATGTTCATCTTACTCTATAATATGTTCATCTTACTATCTAATTATAGATTTGCGTCATAATCTTCCAATAAGATAAATTAATTGTAAAAAATGATAAATTAATTGTGTTTCAAAAAATATCAAATGTGGTCTCTATTTGTAGAGAATGAAAAATTATGAATTTTGGTATTTTTGATACAAAATATGAATGATAATTTAGTTTATATAATATGATAAATGAAATTCATTACCCAATAAAAATGAGACACATATCTCATTTAAAAAAAAACACTTACCTCCTTACCTCTCACGCGCTTTTAGAGGGGATGTAATTCACATAAGGCCTTGGCACACCTAAATATCTGCAGCCTGACTAGGGATAGGACAAATTGATGATGACGATAGACAATAATGATAAGACTAATAATTTTAATAGCATCGAATTTTTAACATAAAACATATACAAAAATTTAACTGCATGATAAACAAACTATAAAAAAAAAATATCATATTCTAACCAAAAATTCAACGATAATATACATTTCAATGAAAATTCTAACTGATATTCTAGTGATGTAGTTTCCGTTGGGATAATTACAATGGAAAATTCTAGTGAAATGAGTTTCTCATTGAAATTGTAATTGAAATTTGATAATTCTAACGACCATTTTTCCAACAGTTTACCGTTGAATATGCAATTTTTATTGGAATTTTCGTTTTCTCATATATTTCAACTGTTAGAAAATATGACGTAGGAATTCTCAAAATCCAACTGGTCAATAATTAGGGCAATAAAGACTTACTATTCATACAGGGGAGTAATATCACTGCTCAACCCCTTGATGGAAAAGTTTTTTTTTCTTCAAAATGTCAGACATTATATTATAAACACAAATTTTAACCACAAAAATAAACACAAACACACACAACATACTAATAAGTAAAATACAATAAAATCTCCCCTCCTCAAGCTAATCCTTTGCCACCACCAAGACCACGAGCTCTAAGCCATGGACAACAACCTCAAAAACGCCACAACTTAAAGCAACACTAACATCCTGTAAGGCCAATATCAATCCTAAAGACGAAGAAAGAACTAAACATATGAAGGCAAACAAATCTGAACACTCTAGTTCACTTGAACGGCTAGCTAGACAAATCTAAAGGAAGAAGTCCATATCTGATTTTACAAAAATCGTCAAAGGATCGGGGGAAAACTGCCTCTCGAGAAGACACGAGTCTCGACCGACCACCGAGAAGGGGTGCAGGCCCTGCCAGTAGTAAGTGACCGAAGACGGGAGGAGAAGAACGCGAGAGGGGCTAACATATTTTCTTTTTTCTCTCTTTTGGGGAGATAAGTTGGTGAGAGATTTCTATACTCAGTATTCTATCCAACCAACATTGAGTACAGAGCAAATATTAAGCAAATAGACATGAAAGAAAATATACCAATAAGTTATGCTAAGGGTGACTGGGAAGGAGTTAAAACTGGTCAAAATTAGTGTTGATTGAGTTAATTGTTTATTTTTACTCACTTTAACTCAAAACTCAACTCAATTTCACTATTTTTAATATTATTAATATAATTAAATAATAACAATAATCTCTTTCATACATCACATTCACTTTAATTCACTATTCATTTACTCACATACTTTTAACTATATACAACTTTCATCGTTTTTCTTCCACTTTTACATTACATCAACTTCATCATTACAATTTAAATATTAGCCAACCGACCAAGTAACTTCCTCCATACTAGACATGTCCACGGCCCGAACCGGCCCGATCCGGCCCGAACCGGGAACTCCAAGGGCCGGTTCGTTGAACTGGACCCGTAGGGTCGCGGTTCGGTCCCGGTTCCATTTTTTTTGTATTTTGGTCCCGCCGGTCCGAGCCGGGCCAGGCCGGACGGCGGGTTACATCGTTAAATTTTTGTTTTTAAGTGTCGAACCGGTCAGTGAACCGGCGGTTCGGGCCGGTTCATAGAACCGGCCCTTGGTTTTTAGCGGGCCGGTCGCGGGTCGTGTGTTGGAGGGCACGTGGCCCAGCGGGTCGGGCCGGGCCCTGGCCCGTTGACTGGCCACCACTACTCCATACTTAATAAGGATTATATTAATTCATTTTATTTTCTTAATTCAAATAGTAAGAGTTGTAAAGTTCAGTTACTATCAAATGATAGAGTACTTGCAGCTGCGGTTAAGATTGAATATGCAGTTAAAATCATACCATTAGCAATAATTTTGAATGATAGAAGACACAGGTTACATTCATCCTAGGCAATTGACCTACGAAAGTGACTTGTAACGCCACAAACAATCAATCATTAAAGTGTTTCAGGCAAAAGAAAAGGAAGTGCTGTACCATATATAATTATTAATGTAGTACGAAATCTCCACCTGAAATATCTAGTTGAAATTTAGATTTGAGACTACCACCATTTTTTTTTATTAAACTCTGTTCTAGACATGGCCACGGGCCGGCCCCAACCCGCAACCGGTTCCGAGAACCGTCACTGTAGCTTTACGAGTCGTGTCCGGGTCCGATCTTCTATTCCTGCTGGGACCGGGTCTGGGTCGGGCCGGAACCGGCCCGGCTCGACCCATGGACTGGCCATTCTACTCTGTTCACATATCATGGTCTTGACTCTTGAGCCTTTTCCGTTGAACGTCACTACATGTAAGTTGTAACTGCTTTAATCAGTTGAGTGACGAAAATGAATTTGTGAAGAATAATTTTGATGAATTTGGTAACAAAACTCAATTATATTAATAGTTAATACATGTGGAAGAAACGGTCTCGCTTATCCTTTTTAATCAAAATCCAATAGAAAGAAGTTATTATTATTCTCCTAAAATGGTTGTCAAACTGCTCGTGTGGTCTTGATTAGCCTACTGAGACTGCTAAATTTAGGGAAAAGTTTTCCGGAAGTTTTGTTGATCGTGAGGGATGTTTGGTTAGAGAAGTGAGCGCGGTCCGGGACAGGCCCAGAATGTAGCTTGTACCGACACATGTCCCGTTTATGAACCGGTTCGGAACGGTCTGAGATGAGAGGTTGTCCC